AAAGAACCACATTGTAGATTTGTGCGATGAAACTATAGTTAACTATGGTCTGTAAAATGATAGTTTATATAAAGTTCAAACAAAATCGCCCAAGTGCGAGTTGGAGTTGCGCACGAAGGGTTCCGTAGGTATTTTTAAGCACGATATAATGTGCGGGCGAAGCCGCGGGCGCAAGCTAGTTGTACAATATATTGCTACTATTGCACTAGGAAACGGATCAACAACGGTCGCAATGTAATGCGACAAATGATGTAGTGTGATGACAATATTTTAGTTTTATTTTAACTGTTAAATTTGTTTACAAGTCATTGCTCAACTCAGTATCAAATATGAGTTTGGTTACAAGAGAATAAATTATTATTATTTATTATGTAATCAATAGTGTTATTTAAGCTCGTGCTATTCAGTGGGTTAAAGTTAGATTAGTTAAAGTTAGAGATAATGTGCGATTTATCGGACAAATCTTTACATCAAAAGGGAAACTCAAAGAATTGAGCGAAAAGTAAGTGATTTTTATTAAATGTAATCTTGCTTATAGTCTAGTCAACAAGTGCTTTTTTAACGAAAACCTGTTTAACTTCACGAAAATTATGGTTTTATATGGCACAAGAGAAATACATAATCTGTGAAAATTTCAACTGTATAACTATCACCATTACGACATGAGATACAACGTAGAGCCTGGTGACAGACTGACAGACAGACAGCTTAGTCTTAGTAATAAGGGTTGCATTTTACTCTTTGAGTACGGAACTCGAAAAGATTATTTTGCCCAAATAAAATAGAATATTAAAGAATAAAAAATATAGTTTTTTCTAGACACATGAATAAATAATAATACGACGAAAAAAAAATTAAGATTATTTCTATGTAGTTCTAAGTAGTTATTTCTATGTATATTTTTGTCACTTCTTGAAAGAGTTTAAAAAAGATTGCCAAAAAAATTCTAATTTTTCATTGTTTTATTACCAATCTAAGGCATTGAAATATGAAAAACGTTAATAAATCAATCAAGATTTTTTAAAATTTTTTGATTATTCTGTTCCTGTAAAAAAATACTTGAATTGTAATTATTATAAATAAATACATTATTTATAAGATTTTAATTTTTTTTCTGTTGTAATAATTAACTGTTGAGTATTGATACCAATATTTTTTTATTAATTATTATATGTAAATTCTTAAATAATCTATCACGCGCGCAACGAATTTACATTAAAATATAATGGTTGTGTTGCACGTGAATCTGAAAAGCGCGCGAGCGCTAGATATTGCTGGCCCTTTAAAGCATGTATTTCAACAAATATCACATTCACGAGATACAGTAATTCTTCTTAATAAGTAGGTACTAACGTAAAGTGATGATTTCAACCAATGAATGCTGCTGTGATCCGTGATTCGTCCGTTTGAATTGGATCAAATAAGTACGGAGTGGATTTGTATAAATTGTAGCTACTTTCAAAAAGATATTGACGAGAAGTTGTTGATCCGAATCGATCTGACTAGGTTTCATTTTTAGAAAATGTCGTTTTATCCCAGTTTTCAGGGAATGAAAAATATCATTCGAATACGACGCAAAATTTCATCTAAAAAAAAATTTATTTAGCTCGGTCGGTAATCGGGCGACCACTAACAAACAGTCACGAAACAGGAGGCCGTGGATCGTATCACGATTTTTACACACCTACTTTTTTTTTTTCCGATTCCAGATCATTGCTTTCTTTATTTTTTATTTTTTGTCGATCCACATGATTTTGTTATATTTCCCTTTTTTTTTTTAAAGTTCTTTCTTTTGTGAAAAACACCAGTTCATATTTTGTTATTATTACGTCGGTAAGATCGTAAAATATTATGCATATTTCATTACTCAGTAATTTGTATCGAAATGTAATTTTCAAAATACACGATTTACCAAAAAAAAAACAAACTGAGCAAAACTCGGTCCTCCGGGTACTTGGTTTGTTTAAACTTGATTTGCACCACGTACGAGTTCTCAACCGAGCAATTAAATTGATTCGTCGGAGTATCTTGCACGTAAACATATTCTACCATAGATTGCACGACGATGATACATGCAAAGCGATGTTCGCATTCGATTTAAGGGGTTTTTAATTAAAGCTATACTGCAGAAATGACCAAATAAAAAGACTTATTGATACATCCGAATTAAAAAATCGACTTTTACATGGGTAATAAGTGAGCCTATCATGTTATATTATAAGATAGTGACTATTAATTTTGAGAAACCAGAAACTTATTGATGATAACTCAATCAACTTTCCTTTCATTCAACTCTTGTACTATTTAAAGTAAGAAAGATTGCCGTTTTTTTTACTACGTTAACATGCATTAGTACGGCCGACGTGACAACACATACGTCACTAGATAGCGATGTGACGTACGTGCGACAATGGTCGTGTATTGTGACACTTGCATACAGACAGTAAGTGTAAGTGACCTTGACCCGGAACGTGCGACCTTAGCTGGTCTGCAACTCAGAGTTTTTAAACAGCTTTTGGGAAACTCTTTAATGTATTATATGTGCCTATCGGAATGTGATAGTTTTATTCAACTATGAGACAAGTTCAAATTTGAACTATCCTTATAAATAAATGCCTTAATAAATAGTCTACTTTTATTAATAAAAAAGGTGTTAAAATTGTGTGTCAACGTGGCCAATTTTTTGTATGAATTCTATAAAGCACACAATGAATTCGAAATAGAGAACTTCTGACACAATCCATCAATTAAACGGTAACAATTTTAAAGCAGTTTTTATTTTTTATTTTTAGGGTTCCGAACCCAAACGATACAAAGGGACCCTATTACTAAGACTCTGTCAGGTCAAATACTAAAAAACACAATTACAACAGACATTATTTTTTGCCGTTTTATAAATAATGTGGCCAGTACGAGTTCAAGAGTTTACCACAAAATTATTTTCTAGCTAGAATATATTTTTATATCGAAACGCGAATGCTATCTGTTTTGATATACTACTACGAGTATTTAGCTTTTGTTAAAGATTGTTTCTTTTTAGGAAATACACTGAATTTTTAAGTAAAAAAATATTTTAGCATAGGCCATTGGGTGTAAAATGTATTGCACCTGGTCGATCCAGGTGTAATACATTATACACCAAATTTCTTAAGTATAGGTAGATTTATCTAATTAAAATTGGTTACCATTATTTATACTCTAAACATGTACATCTAGCTTAGTAGCTAGAGCATCGGGCCAATATCCAAAGGACGGACGCAGTTTCAACTCCTCGCGACGGCAAAGAACTTATCGATATCCATTTTTCAATTTTTTTAAATCTCATCTTAAGCGCAGAGAATAGCAAAATAAAAATAAATAAACATCCTTTTAATATTTGTTGTGCTCTTACGTTCGTAAACAGTTCACATCTGATAACCATTTATGTGAATCTAATTTAGATTCAAATAATCGTGCATCAGTAATAGTCATATGACTCAGTGAGTCATAGTTGACGCAAACGAAATATACAGGTACTCGTATTAAATTAATGGTTTACGATACATGATGGCAATAATTTTCGCTTAGGAACATATACGTATATGTTAGGAACATATACCCACTATAAAATAAATATATATAAACCTATGATATTTTCACGTATTGAATTTGTTTTCAAGTTTTAACCATAACAGAGTGCATAGACATAACTACACAATTTTCACTTGGCCTAAGTAACATTGAAAAAAGTAGTGCACAAAGTACAAATATACTTTTACAAATAAAAAACACACCTGACTTCAAATTTCTCACTCACGATACATTTTCCATTTCATTTTGTGGATTGCTCTGATGTGTCTCTGAAGTTCAAGGCGCGTTATCGATCAAATTAATATGGGACTACACGTGAGCTAAGCCGAACCCAATGTAAAGAGTTTAAAAAGAAAAGAAAAGAAATTTTAAAGTCGGTTTTATAATTAATTGAGTAACAGAACTGATGACAACGAACGTTGACCGGTGACAAACATAAAAAAAATCTACATCCGAAGTCAGAATCCTCCTCCTATTTTTAAAAATAGTTTGTAATGTAACGAAAAGACAACACCATTCATTATTAATTAATTTTAGGATAAATATGATTTATGAATGAAGATTTTTCTCTTTTTTTTAATAAATATTAAATTATTAAAAATAAAAAATAAATTAAATAATTATTAGTGATTAATTGTAAGTTAAAACTGTAATTTTCCAAATTGCTTCAACTGCCTTATAATACTGGAAATATCAAGAACTAACCCCCATTGGACAGGCCTAGTGTGGGGTCAGAAAGAAATTAAAATGCAATTAGGCTTCTTCTGAATAAAGTTATTATCATGTATTGTATAATTATCATGCAATCCAATTTTACCAAAAACATTATTTTTCTTTCGGCGCATTAATTAATTATTTCTTACTTAATATTTAGCTGTGATAGTTCAGTATCTGGGTGTTCGCTTTTAATTAATTACTCAAGACGAGAGCAACCTGAGTTTAAAACCCGGTTTCGGCACCATTGAAATAGTTAAAAAACGATAGTTCAAAGAAGAAAGAAAATTTGTAGTCCGCCGATCCAAAGTGGTAATCCCTAGTACCCTCTGTACAGAGGAGGCTTATGACCAGTAGTGGGACATTTAAAGGCTGTTACTTTACCGTAATAACTTCGTGAGTCATGATATGCTTGGTAGGGATGAGTATATTTTTCGTTAATAGCTTGAACGCACATTGTGATTTTATACGACTACTAGCGTACCCAACGGACGTTGTCCTGTACACGTGACTTAAATCCGACAACAACTTATAAATAAAAAAAAAAAAACGAATTGTGAATCGAAACCATTCTCGAATCGACCTGAAAACAAACAAAAAATTTCATTGACATTGGTCTAGCCGTTTAGAAGGAGTTGAGTGACATACACACGTTCACAAGAATTATATATATGAAGATGGTAATGATTTAAGTTGTTTCCATCTGACGTATTAGAATGAAGACGTTGACATGCGTAAGCAGCCGGTAAATTACCTTTAAAATATATATCCATGAAAAGTATCAACTACGACCATGGCCGAACAAAAGGACGCTGCTACATAAAATGTAAAATGATATAATATTACAGCTATTACCTCTCCATTATATTGATATTCATCGTTGTGATTTTCCAAAACACAGTCTAAAAATATTCGTAATTCGTAAAAAAAGTCTAAGAGGTGAATCGCCGTTATGACATTCCGTTTCGTTACGTTATATCTATGTCAAATTAGATAGTGCACAATGAGAGACATGTTGACAATTATTACAACATGTTTTAAAGGATACATTACATAAAACTACAGGCTATAGGTATTACATTTCAATCAGTAGCCTCGGACATTGTAATTCTGTACGGTGGTAGCTACCACAAATCGTACCTGTTATCAGATTCTTGGTAATCCATCTGTCAGAATGATACTGATATATCATACCGATAGCCTCCACATTAAATAGGTTAGTAAGGACTTTGCGGTTAAAGGCTATTCGTGTTACCTTAAGTTTTTGCCGTCCTATTCGATAGCAACTTTCATCATATATGATCTTTTCATCTTATTTTTTCGTATTATAGAAAATAGGGACTATTTGAAAGGTTTAAGAAATATCGACCAAGAAATGTTTGATTTAATTTTTAAGTTTATATTATTCTTTTTTATATATAAAAGTTTCTTGCTTGTATTTAATGCGCAGACTTTTTTTGAGAGGCCCCGATTATCTCACTTACTAGACGAAACGCAAAGTATATTAGTTCCAGTTCCATAAGGCGAAGCAGCAATTTTATAAAATCTTAATACTTTTTTTAAATTAAGATGCTGTTTTTAACTGGTTACCCAAACCTGACTGGTTGGACCAGTATTGTGAACCGCCATTAATAGTGCCTCCTACATAGTTATTATTTTATGCTTTAGGCCTAAATTTAACGATCTAAAAGGGGTATAACTTAATTAATTATATGAGGTAGAGAAATTTTCCTAGCGCTTTATCCCCACTTACCCAAAACACTGTCTGATTTAACACAAACTAAATATACCAGTACGCTTGTCAGATTGGAATTTGAACAATCAAACAATCGCAATAAAACGTAGAAGCACTGTATAGAACAATACAAATATACCACCGAGTACGCCAACGTGCCCTGACTAGGCATAGTGGTTTATAACTAGGACAGTGGGTTTCCCAACCGCGACAGCTCATCTCAGTTTTCCGCGTCCCAACGTACGTGGGCAGGACAATGGGGCCGTTAGCTCGGAAAGGAAGAGTTTTACGAGCAGCGGGGAGGGGGGCGTGTGTGCCGAACAGGACATCGACTCGGCGGCTCAGCGCAGTGGATTTTCTGAAGGCTGTGGCGCGGGCCGCATGCCAACGCCGCGGCCGACCTCGCGCGACCCTATTAATACAAGAGGCGCCGTCTAACGCCCATAGTCTTCGAGTCAAACGCGAACATGCTGTTCCTACTGGCGTGCGTGTGTCTATCCGGCTTAGGGCCGGCGGCGTCCGTACCCGTACCAGCCAACGGGTTCGTGTTCCCGGACGTACGGCAGCAGCGCAGGTTGGACCCTATCACGCCGCCCGTGCTTCCCGTGCTTGAGCATTTAGAACGGGACCCTAGCACCCTTCTTCCGGGGGAGGGGGGGAAGCGGCCGGCGGCCCCCAAGCCCCGCTTCGGCTTCGGGGGCGGGTTCAACGTGGCGCCGACGGGAACCGGTGGCTTGTCCGCCAGCGTCAGCAGCAGTGCAAGCGGCGCGGGCGTCAGCCACTCCGCTTCGCAATCATTCTCGTTCGGTTTCAACGAGGGCTTCAGCGCCTCGCATTCCGCCAGCCAAGCGTCGTCGTTCAACGGATTCGGGAGGTCAGTATTTAGGCCAAAATATCGTCATTTGTACTACAATATAGTTATAATTGTTTAAAACTATATACACCAATCCGGCGGCAGTGGGGCAGTGTGGTGGACTATGCCCTGATACCCTCTGTACAGAGGAGGCCTTTGCCCAGCTGTTGGACACGTACAGGCTGTCACTTTACTTTACTTTCTTTACTTTACTATAGTTATAAATGTAAATCATCACACAGTTAAGAATCTGAAGACATTGGTCGTCATCGGTCCACTTAAAAAATATTACTAAATCTCTGTAAGATTTTTATTTACATTTGCTATGCTAATTTTATGTCTTAATATTTGCATATCAAAATTTTATTTATTTCGGTTAATATTCAATTCATACATAATGCAACTAATGTACTTAATACAACTACAAACTTATGAAACCAAGATAATTATGATTAATGAAAATAAACAACTTTCCTGAGTTTGACTTTTTTATGGTAAATAATGAAACTTAATAAAATTCTTTTCATAATTGGCATAAAAGCCCGACCTGTATTAACTTCATATCATTAAATTTATAACAATCTATTATTAATGTCTCATACATGCTTATTATTACCTCTTACATAATTAGCTTCGTATTTCAAGTATATTTTTAGTTCAACCATTTATGACTACTATATTATGGTCATAACTGTTCAAATATTATCTTATTACACACTTAAAAATTTAAGCACACCGAAATATGTCATATGAATTTAGAATTCTGTTTGCATACAAATTATGCAAAGTCTTATGAAGGATGATCTGTTAAAAAGTGTTAGTACCCATATAACGATACATACCATAGTATTTTATACAAACGTAAAGCTAACGTTGTCTTAGTTTTTGTATCAAGTATTTTAATATAATCTAAGCGCTAAAAACAATTACGCAGAAAAAAAATCTACTAGCTAGAATCTCTCAATTTAAACGCACCAATCATCATCATCTCACCTTAAGCCATGATAAACCAATCTCTAGGCGTTTTAAATATTTTATTTAGGTACATTAAAAACACTGATATTAAGTTATGATAAAGCAACGTAGATGATCCAACGCTTTCATAAAACACTGATATTAAGTTATGATAAAGCAACGTAGATGATCCAACGCTTTCATGCAACAGCAAAAGCGTTGTCGTGAAAGTGATATACTTTCCGGATAGTATCCGACCCTACAAAGAAAAATATTTATACTTTTTCAACTGTCGAGTGGGATAGCCAGTCCAAACTCGTTAGGGAAACGCAATTTTGAAAGTCATCTATCCCACTCTCGTACGGGACATTGTAAAAAAAACTCAAACTACAAATGGTAATCAATGGTGAAGTGATCACACGAAGTGACCATTAGCATCAGGTGAGCCGAATGCTGATAAAAACACAACGTGTAATTTTCAAGCATCTTTCTGTTTCGAATCAAGTCAAATCTGAGACTGTAAACCATATTTGTTTTCAATTCGACGAAATATATACTTTGGATCAAATTATTTCTCACGCAACGGCCCGTATATTTTGCCAAAAACACCGGTCCCACAATTGACATTAAAATTTAAATACGCAACAGATAATTGTAATGGCCTGTCTATAAATATTAAAATACGTCAACACTCACTTAAAACACGGTTGTTTTTTTTGCAGATTTACTATAAATTAAAATCGCAAGGTCAGCGACTCGCTCCACTTGATCATATCCGAGAAGTCGTCGCTATCTCTTCCGTATGAAAAGGCTTTTGTAAAATTATAACAGAGATCGACTTGTTAAACTTTTATGAGACCATAACCAGTTGCCTTTCCCTTGAAAGGAATGTATTGTTTTCTCCATTTATATTACCTCCTGTATTATTTTCAAGTTTTTATTTAGCATGTATAAATTCTATGTAACATTTGTTTACGAGATTGCTTACGTGATTTTGCTTTATACAGACTTGACTGTGAAAAGAAATAAAAATCTAATAGGTCAACCACCACCTTAATGCCTGAACAAAGTAATAATTTTATTCATTCATTCATTCATTCATAATTTTGTAAACGTTTCTTTTTGTGATTCCTTTATCGTGATCAGGCAATTGTATCTAATATGATGTTGTACCTATTTTTAATATTAATAAAATTATAAAATATATAGCATATATATAATTATATAAATTAAATGAAAATATAAAAAAGCAGAAGTAAAAATATTTTTTTAATATTATTTAGTACAAATTGGCTTAATCTAATGTAAACAAAAATTATGTTAGCAGTGTAGGCGCAGTTGTATAACGGTAACGTCATTGTACTTTGGCCGCATGCGTCTTAAACCCAAACATGAATACTATTCAATCTAAACAGATTTTCAGTTTGTTTTAGCAAGACTTTGAAACAAAAACGAAAAAATTAATCTCAAGCCATTTGATTATTTTAGGTCTTAGTGGGCAGCATAAAATCTTAAAAATAATGCCTCAATTCATGACGACAATTGATATTATTGATTTATGTTAAAGATTAAGGGGATATGGCGTACTGACAAAAACACAATTGCAGAATCATATTGTAATAAAATTTTAGAATATGATTATATTAATATTTCACTGTCATCCGATCTGAAAGTGTTGGTGTCAAACATGTTGGTGTCAACGTTGCCTTGGTATATAAAAGTTTTTTTTTTTGTTTCAAAATCGAATGTTGCCCTTTCCAGCTTTAGCGGCGGCCAGGCGAGCAGCCAGGCCGCAGCTTTCAGCGGTGCCAGCGCCACCTTATCCGGCGCCTCGTCCGCCGCGGCCGCCCAGACGGGGAGCTTTGGCAGCCAAAGCTCCTCCTCTGCGTTCGGCTTCAACTCCAACAATGGCGGATTTTCCCGCCCTGATGTAAGTCTACAAATTGTCACCGTAATGACGATAGCGATGTCTAAATAAGTTATCGGTTGCTGGATAGTGGCACCGAGCTCGTAAAAACTGGACTTTTGACGGGTTCCGCAACGAAGCTTTCTGTAGTTTCGGGTCATGAGTATAACTCACACATTAAAGATAAAAAAGAACTGGTTAGCGCTTGATTTACCCAATGAATTTAACAAATATGTATTATTTGTAGGTGTAATCATAGTTGACAATTTAGATCATAATATAAAATGTTCATTAACTTTTAAAATGGCGTAGAGAGATGCAAGTACAGCTGTTACCTACTTGGATGGGCCGTTACGAAATAGAATATGCCACGGCCCCGCAAAAAAGTACTGTTAAGAAGTACGTGTTTACTTATGTACGCACGTAACAAGTTATACTTCTTTAGCGTTAAGACATTTAATGCAATTTATAAATGTTTATTTAATATATTTGTAATTTTTGGTAAATGACAAAGAGTTATTATTTGTTGCCAAGATTTAATTGGTTACCAAGCGTCTTGCGCTTTTTGAGGGTCGACGTGCGCGCGCATCGTAAAAATTTTACTCTCATATTTTTTCCAAACTCGCCAAAAGAAGTATAACTTCAAAAGTTTATACTTTTGTGTTGTCTGCTAAGTGAGGGCGGCACGCGTCCTCACAACGTTTGGCAACGCGCCTACAACTATGTTGCCACTATGTTAATGAGTGACGATAATCAATTGTCATCATAATCGTGATGATTTACCATATCCTCCCATAAAAATGAGAATATTTACCATAATTTAAAATACTTTTATAAGTGTTGATGTCTCGTATCTTAGCTTTTTAAACATTATTTGCAAAAGCGGGGTCCATACCATATTTTTAAATAAGCTCTTGCTCTATGGTTAGCTATGGCAATGGCTCTATTAGAGAAGCTCTAGCAGAGAATAATGCAAAGAGTATAATGCATACCAGATTAAATACACCTGGATATACAATACTTCAATTAATAGGTAAAAATATATTTTTATATAACTATATTACAAAGGCATTATTATTAGATGTGTAACGGAGATAGCTCCTAAGTTTAAATAAAATAAAAATCACTGAAGCCCATTAATTCTACAGATATAAATATGATAAATGAATGACAAGAAAAACCAGAAATGCACATCCTGATTCGTTGAAACGGTACGTTCTATTTGTATCCTTGTATGACGTACGAAATTCCATTCATGGTAAACTTATTGTCACATCCGATACTAATAAAATTATTATATTCTGACATAATAACTACCCACTTATCTAACTGAATCTTGAACGTAGTATTATAAAATAAGACAATTGTTCCAGGAAGGACATGTTGCAGACGTGTCCTTCCTGGAACATTTGACATTCGAAAATATAATAAAAAATGACACTAATTAATGAAAGATCATAAGTTTTATAAGACCTGATACTTTTCTTATAAAAGGCATGATCATAATATCAGTTCTACCCAATTTTTTTTCTATTATTATCTAGTAAACCGACATTAAAAGTCTCAAATAAACACACACTCAATTAGACACTGTCATTGTCCATTGTTGTCTATGTCTTTTGACCTTAGATATTATTCCTTCCAGGCCACCTTCGGCGAGGGTCTGCTGGACATAAGACATCGCGGGGCACCGAACTTCCCTTTCCCAAATCTCCTCGGCAGGACTAAGGGCTCCGGCGCTGCGGCCTTCAGGTCCATAAAAGGACCCTCCAGCAGGAACGGAGACGACTTTCTAGCATTATTAGTTTACAATTAACTTACTACGAAACGACATTTGTAGCGAAGCAAGTAGAATACGAGAAGAATTAATTTAGGAATCGATTCCTCAGTATAACACTTTAATGCCATGTCTGATGAAATAGAATTTATATCAGTCGCCTTAATTTTTATACTCTATGAAGGCTTATTAATATAAATGTATTTGCATATTTCTTAACGATCATCTTACATATATATGTATTTTGGTTACGTCTCTAAAAACTTACATACCTCACTTGTAATGTGAACAATGACCACATTGTCTATACGCCTCATTTCTTTGATGAGCTGATAAGGTGAATGATAAAACTGAAAACTTAAAGCCTTTTGTTTGAGAAAACATTATTTATAATGACAAACATGCATTAAGGTGTCACATAAAACTGCACATACACATATATCATTTATATTAGTATTTTATTGTGTGGTTTAGACTTGACTTGTTATTTGAATCAATTTGAACCCTATATAAATTCAGTATTGTTTATTTTTAAATTGTCAAATTCAGTTCAATTCAATTCATGCCATAATATTACTGTAATATTGCATTATATAACACCTTCTTGATACGAATCTAATTAATGAAAAAATTTATACTATACGTTAAATTAATTCAAGCAGCATACGAAAGACAACTTTCGACTGACATTTTATTTATTACTAGTCATTAAGATGATTCTTTAAAATAATTAAATAGAATAATATAATCCAAATTATTATTTCCATTTAATACAAATATATGTTACTTTTAGGTAATACGTATAGAAAGTTAATGTAATTAAGGCTTTTGGTATACTTTTTTTCTAAACTCAATGAGGTAATGTTTGTTTTTAATTACGGTAATTAACGCCTATTATCTAAATAATTTCAAAAAAATTTTTACAAACTTTATAACTTTTTTAAATAATAATATTTTTTTAAAAAGTAGATGTTTTAACGATTTCTCGGATTTACGTGATGTACTTACAATTAAAACATGTATATTTTTTATTATTCCAACAATTTTGAATTGAAGAATCAAATTCAGAATCCACTTCAATGTGTACTTTTCAGATAAATTATAACTTCATCCTAATAATTCTGCTACCTGAATAGAATTAATACTAAAATTGAAGAATTACCTACCATCGTACTTATTATCTCTAAATAGTATAAAACAAAGACATCCCGCTGTCTGTCTGTCCCTATATATGCTTAGATCTTTAAAACTACGCAAAGAATTTTGATGCGGTTTTTTTTAAATAGATAAGAGTGATTCAAGAGGAAGGTTTATATGTATAATTCATGCATAATATAGCAGAGAAACACTGATAATTTTAGAGGTTTCTAACGCGATGTCGAAAACAAACATTCAGCATTGAACTCGTGCGAAGCCGGGGTGGGTAGCTAGTTACTTACAATTAAATATTATTAATATTTACTTATTTAATGTAGGGTCAGAATATGCCCCAATTTGAAGTTCTGCCTCATTCTAGCAAGCATATAGGATACCCAATTTTTAGGCAGCTGTTTTGGCTTTTTACTCAAATGAACGACGCATATTTGAGGTTCGAGGTAATCTCTACCCCAAGCAATCGAAGGCCATCAACACATTACAAGGTGATATTCTAAAGAATTACTTACTGAAACTGTTTGAAAAGTAGAAGCCAAGGTAAGGGCTCCAGTTTTAGTAGATCAATCTCACAAGATCGTCGGCGTCGCATCTTGCTATTTGTCGTTTGCCTGCATTGTGAGATTCAAACGGAATAGTAGAGCTAGTGCCCCCTTTTCAGCCTGAATAACCTTATACGCGAATAACATTATAATTTTAATATTCTTCTCTAATTAGAAGAGACTCCTCTCTTCCAATTATGGGGAGCGGGAAGCTCGCATTTCGATCCGGCTCTTTTGGCACAGATAATGGATTTCCCGGGCGAGGTAGCCAGTACTAAGGAATCGGCAAAACTCCCGGCCTCCAGCGACGGCTTTAGTCTATGAGTCCACCACTTACCGCGCCTTAGCCGTGGAGACTGCCCTCTCCCCGTGTTCGCACTACTGCTGGATCTGCGGCGATGCAGCTCTGCCAAGTCGCGAGAATTGAGCGGCTTTGACTCTACCACCCTGAATCAATATCCGTTCGGTTGGCCATTCCAACCGTTCGGTCCGTTCTGATATTTCAATAAAGTTTCTTTGATCCATTCCATCAAGCAATGCGGGTATATTTATTTTGTAGTACCTGAAGTTCCTTCAGCTGTGTTTGGGGAACTCCCGCAAAAGACTTGCAAGTGCAGAAAGTTTACGCTTTATGGGCCTTTTGTTAATACAATTAAATTATGTATTATGTGTAGTAATCTAAAGTTAAATAAAGTCCTTACATATGAAATTAGAGTTTTATATGAAAAAAGAATAAAAATACAAGTAAAACAAAGTAAAGTAATAGCCTATAAACGTCTCACTGCTGGGCAAAGGCCTCTGTACAGAGGGTATCACGGAATATTCCAGTTTTTGTTATTGTTCTAAAATATGCAGGTTTCCTCACGATGTTTTCCTTCACCTACGAGCACTTGATAAGTCAGCACTTAAAATTAACTATTTCATTGGTGCTGGCACCGGGGATCGAATTCAGGTTGCTCAAGTAAATTGAATTAAAGGCGATGACCCGGACACTGAGCTATCACGGCTTGTAAATAAAAATATATGAAATTATAAATTTAATCAATTTACGTATGTATATTATTATCGATTTATCTTTCACCATGTGTTATAGGTAGTTCCTTGATTCCATTCCTGAAAAAATTGGGACCGAAAATCAATGAAATCTTGAAAGGCGGTTTGGAATGCCCCATCAGAATTGATTTTTTTACCTCTCAAGGAATTATCCAAATGCGAGGGTAGCGGTAATTTGTTGGAGCAAAGTCTGGGGACTATGGTGGGAGTCAGAAGCATTCCAATCGCAGGTCCTCGCATTTAACTACCGTCTGTCGCGAAGCGTGATGTCTTGAAGCAGAAGTGGACTAGATTAATATATAGACCAGCCTCGGTTGTTGATTAGCGAGCTTTTCCATGATGGTTTATAATAGTTGACAGAATAGATCTGCCATAATCGTCTGACCATAGAAACTGTAATGTATGATACATGCAATGGTCCACCGAACACTCACTAGTACCTTTTCTGAGTCAACATTCTCTCTGAACAGGATTCAGCCGGGTCTCCTGGGTTCAAGCGCAAAATGAATCTTGTAATATAATCGATAACGCCCATCGTTATCGATTATATTACAAGATTCATTTTTCATCACAAGTAACATAGGATTCAAAATTCCCTCTTTCTTGTGACGGTCGTGTAATGTAACGCAGCACTCAATGCGTGTTTCTTGGTGTTTTTCACTAAGTTCATGCGGTACCCATTTCTCGAGCTTTTCGTGGCAAGTTTTCAACTGCCACACACACTGAACCCTACCGCTAACTCTGACGTGGTTTGCGATAATCTGCTTCCATGATCATCTTTAATAAGGTCTCCGGGGCCTTTAATAGGGTCTCCGGTCGCCAACGAGGTTTATTCTGTAGGTAAAAATTTCCAGAATGAAAACGTTGGAACCGTAAACATTTCGTGTTTTCTCTTATAATAGCTTCTCCATACACATCATTAATCCTACAGGTTTTTCCTGCAGCATTGATACCACGATGGAACTCGTATTCGTAAATAATGCTAGATTTTAAGTTTTCCATAATATGAACAGACCGACGACAAAGAAAAATCAAATGACGAGTAAACAAATGAATTTCTAAATTCGCAACACGAATACAATAAGCCCAAATTTGAAATAAATTAGAATTTGGAATTCCTAGCCAAACGACAGATATTTGTAGATCAAACTGGCCAGTTCGACAAATCGCTAATTTCATAAGTAAGGACTGAATATTATAAGAAAGCTAGATAAGTAGTTGCAATATGTCAACGTACCATGTTTGCTTATAAAATTCATGTAGGCGTTTAAATAAAATATCGAACCTCGATTTAATTACCATTGAAATTAAAAAAATATTATGTTATTAAATACCATTGAATCAGTTTATTTGCCATGTACATTCCAATTAGCAAGTTAAGCTCTGATCATAAAGAGTACGTTGTTTTGTTATTGCCTTAGAAACATGTCTTTTCGACCTTTTATCATTCAGTACACCTGCATTCTACACTTAAATCAAGGATAATACTAATATAAGTAACACAATCTAACTGCTTGAGTTCTCGGGCGATTGCTATGCAAACGTGCAAAGTAGATACATGTAGATAGAAGCAAAAATGACGCAACGTTTTAAAAAAATACAAGTGAGTTGACAATGAGAACATCTCATGGCATGTAAAACAATTGATCCTGGACATACCCATGAGTCACGAAGAATATCCACCGTGTTATTGAATTGACATGCTATCGTTCGGATTACAAATGGCGCTTAAGTTGGGCCAATGCCAAACTCCATAGGGAATCATACACGGTGTGTTCAAAATTTTAATAGACAACTGAGAACCGCCATTAATTATTTATGCTTATACATTGTGAAAGACGTTCTCGTAGGTGAAAAAGAGTACTATAAAACCGACATGTTCCATTTTGTTTTACAAAATTTAAAGTGTAATATAGGTAAAAATAAAGCATATATTTCAAAAATTAGTGAAACCACTGATAAAGATTACTAGTCAAAAAATTCTTTGAAATAACATTTCAAAGTTTAAGCATAACAGTTTCCAAATGTAAAGACACTGCAGAAACAAACTCCTAAGTAAGCCATAACATGAATGCTTGTTTGCCATAACATACATTAATCGTCACATCGATTAACAACCGCAGCTGTCATACAAAATGACGTCATTGAACCTTGCGGAAATAATCTCATTATAAAAAAACAACCTCCACAGTGAAACGCTCTAATAAGGAAAAACCGACAGCCACACATCTTTTTTAAATGGCAACAGCGTCACACTAAGCCAAACTGGATATCAATGAATTTAATTTTCGTTCAATCCAACCTCCTCTCATGTCGTACAGTTGACGACCGTCCGATTGGAGTAAATATCTCTCGCGTTATAATAATCGTTATATAGTGGCAAAAATGGCCGACCATAGTTTACTCGTGTTGCTCGCAACATTAGTTGCCGCATACGGTTGGACAGTGTTTCCCTTGCAAAACCCTCAAGCCTACCATTATCAGAGAGTGCAGCCGACCCCAGTTATGAGACCGGTTTGGCCTACGCCTCACTTTTGGATTCAAAATCTGCCACCTCTCCCGGAACCTTCATCTCTGTGTGAAGAGAGCTCGTCGAGACACGAAGCGATCACGCCGAGCAAAGTCACAAAGGCCGTCTCTTCGGCTTTGTTAAGCACCGGTGAATATTTCGTGCCCAGCGCTGTCGTGAAAAACCCTAAACCGGTACTTTCTACAGCAGAAGCGTACTATTAGCAGAAATAAACAAGATTCATCTGTGTGACGCCATCTTGGAACAACATTGTAAGCGAGGTATGGCAATAAAAAACTGGTTATAAAGTAGCTTCAGATGTAGACACCTTTAGGATATTAAACTTTAATTATTGTTTAGTGTAAATTAACATCGAAATTATTAAAAAAATATGTTTTTTTTAAATCAAATTCAATGTTGAAGAAACGACAGACACTTCATAAAAAAACGGAACGACCATGACGTAGAATTTAACTCGTTGTTTGACGTTGTTGGCATAGTCGCTTGTGTATGCAAACGTGTAAATGCGAATAACTGCTTGCTTTTTGTAACATAGCTTATGTCTACAATCATGTCTCAATATCACGTACGAATTCAAACGACGTTTCGTAACAACAATACAATAATAAGCAAAATGTTTACTTTAAATCAATACAACTTAACTTTACAGTATAGAGCGAATGCCACAGTCAATTGTTAAAGGTATTTTTACAAGCGTACGATGTATGCTACTGTCGAATTACGCATCACGTCCGTTTCGAGCGCTCTGAAATTCCATATCGCAAGAACTTATCGCGAGACTCGCTCGCGCTCAACAACATGTTTACAACGGCTCATCGCGTTGCCAACACACCTGAGTGGCTCCGCTTCGCGTGTCACGGAGCCAAGGTTACGGCGGATTTCCCGGGCACGGACCGGACGAGCGACTAAAATACCGATGTTGCGGCGAGCAGATAAACCACTTCATTTGCGCATCAAAAGAAAAGTAAAAAAGTCACATGCAATAGCCGCGAAACCGCCGCCTCGGAATGTTAATTAAACCCTTCCGAGCTGAGCTGGATTCACACTTGCTTTGAATTTTTATCTCATATTTGAAGTTCTTAAAATGCAACGCAATGAAAGCTCGCACTATCACAACTACACCAATAGAACTAATTAGAGTCAAAGATATACAAATTATGTATTTACATCCATGTAACCAAAATCTGTACCACTCGTATCAAAATTCATTTAGAATTGTTACACAACTTATTCCCTTTACACAAGGAATTTCTAATTTAAACTTTGTGCAAGGTTTGTTTTGTATAAGGATATTTCTTCATGAAAATCTTGGGATTAATATTTTCAAATTTAGTATGACACATTCAAACACCGTTTCTTGTAAACTACTTCTTGTGTACTTATGTTACTAGACACTTAAATGGAGATTGGATACATAAAACTTTATACAAAAAAATTACATAAAAAAAATTGTAAAACGTTTATAAGAAAGTAAGCTTCGGCGTCTCGCTTCCTTTGTAATGATATTTCCGGGTAAATTAGGCAATTGAACGCTCATATGTACAGACTTAACCTTTATAATTAAAATGTATGAACTTTATGACTACAAAAACAAGATTTTAATAACAAAATTCATTAAAATTTCCAAATAATAATGTCAGGCGAGTTTCATTTCCAAGGACGAAATAATCTTAGCGGAATCTAAAACGTTTGTATCATCATTCGCAAATCGTGATATTATTGGATTCCTAACTGGCATATATAAAAGCTTCCTATTAGTTTATAACAGCATTCCGTACAAGGCACCATGAGTATTACATGTAAATTAAGGAACGGTTTAGTCTTAACCCTGATATTTCATTTTATAATTGTACATGCGGACAAATCAGTTAAACCTGACGAAGGCATAGACCTAGTTTTACCAGTACTTGCGCCGCCGACGAGCTCTAGAGCGCGAGTCTCGGAGACAGCTAAAGAGTATCCTGTACTATTGCTTTTCGTGAACAGTAGCAAAAGTAAAAAGGAAGTGCTGAGACGGAATATGGAAACAGAACCCATATATGTTGAGGTGAGCAAAGAATGGCCATACTAAAAACTTCACAAAATATTTAATACTCAACATAAGTCTTTTTTTTTATCTTTTTTTTTTTGTTAACGTCGAGGAAATGCCTACGCATACCCGCCCTCAAGGGGGCAAGAGCTGGTTATGTCGGACTCGCACTGACTAAAATCCCCACGATGTTTCATCTAGGCGCATATCGGCAGGGTCACGGGAACGCTTTTGCGCACTTCCGCGAACCAACCCTGCTAGTGCTAATAAGCAGCAAGCCTCCAAGCCCCCAACGGCAGACCTGGTTTGTGGCTCAGCCAATCACCACGTTTCGGCCGCGGAGGGTAGGGAGAACGGCGCATCGCAATACCAAAACTCCTCTCCCCCCGCGGCCCCACCACCACTACATCAGCAGCCCCGCTGAGTCGCGGAGGATAAAGAGAGCGGCCAAACTCAATACCGACACTCCTCTTCCCCCACGACTCCCCCTCGGTAGCAGAAGACAGGGTGAGGGGCTCCTCCTCCACCGCCCTCAACCTGTCTCCTGCACCCTCCAGCACGCATGCAGCAGGGTGATCAGGCCACGGCTACTAAGACTCTCCGCCATAACAAGGCGGGGCCATGTCGGAGGGGATACTTACCATAAGCCTACGGTAAAGTAGTTCATACGGAGACCTTGTGATGGAGAAGTGTGGAGTAAAAATTATTGGGTTATTAAATTTTTTTTTCGGTGTGAAAACTAGTGAAAATCATTTACAAAAATCAAGTATAATAAAAAGTAAAACTTCTTTCGGAAAACTAGTATACTTTAAGTTGAAATACGGAACTCTAGAAAATAATAGCACTAATAACGGTTGTTTCGCGACTTTTAGTAAAACGTTATAAACTGTATGTGGATACTAATTTGCTTTGTTTACTATATGTATTTACTATAAAAGTAAATTTACTTGGGGTCCATTGTGATTCTATTGTTATATTAAGAGGATATAAGTTTGAGGTACTGCAGTATGGTGAGCAGTGAGCTCGAACATTATATCAATACAAAATGATTTCAAATGCCGGAACACCTTGATACCGATAATTATGTTTCCGTGCACTTACGCCCGGTTTCTGAAACACTGTTCATCGTAGAAGTTAACTAATCAGATTTCAAATGGCTTTTCAAAAGTTATTTGAAAGCTACAATGATCAGTGTTTCAGAAACCGGGCGTTAAAGTAATAAATTGACAGAGAGAATAATTGACTTTAAATTTACTTCTTGATCTTACGATTTGTAATCTTAGTCAGATTTACGTAAATTTATTATTTTTCATTTTTACACGTTATTGAGGTAAGAGTATCGGTTTCAAGTGATAAGATTTAAATATAAATAATATTAAAATTGAACTTTGTTTGGTTTTTTATACTTTAAAGTTATTGAACGTTAGGTATGAACATACCTTTATTTCTTTTATATATTTTTACGAAACTTTTTAATTTAAAAATAAACGTCAGTCATAAAGAATCAATATTCTATGACAACCGGACACGGACGTGTTTATTCACATGGAGTTAGATGACGCCTGTGTCCTTTGAAAGTCATAGCGTCACATTAAAATTCATCGTAAAAGTAGAACGCGTGCAGTTATTTCCATCCTGCTCTCAGAGATCAATTTATGATGCATACTAGATGTTTGCAATATGATGGACTCATCAGATAAAAGTAACATTGCAATGTAGCCATTTTGTAAAGTACTGTTTACTTATTAATTCTTTACACACTCAAATCTTTCACAAAAACTGAACAAAGCATACAAGTCTTCGTATATTGATTCGAAAAGTAACATGAGAAATAAACAGTACCGAGAATATAAATCATTTAAATATTAGGGCTCCGCTTTAGGATCTTATTATAAAATTCAAATACGAAACTACGTATGACAAAAATATGTTAAAATTTTGCATAATACACTTTCTATTACATATTCACATAACATTCATTGGCAATTCTTTTCTGTTAATGCATTGATTGACAATTCTACAAACGTGATATTTTGTGTTTTAATTTCACTTAGAGTATCACGTATACTTTATACGCTTTTATCCATTAGACATTAATATAACCCAACAATAAATGCGTGTTTTCTTTTGTTACAGAGACTGGAAGACAGGATCAATCCCAGACATGTAACCAAACATAAATTATAAAATTAAACATTATACAATTATTCGCTACTAGTATTACCTTGTTTTGATGTTGGAATAAGTTGTTTGTATTATTGTATTAAGTTGTAAGTATTATCGTTGAATGATTTGTTTTGTAACTTTAATAATGTTTTATTCTCAAATTGCAGTATTTTTGGAAAATATAAAGAACTAAATTAACATGTAAAGAAGAGCTAAAATTATTTTTTTATAAAAATTTCAATGAATTATATTAAAAGACCGCTTTTAATTTTTTTGTTATTTATTTATTTATTAAGGTGTGCTTCTGTGGTAGGATCACGCAACAGTCTTGGCTGTTGCACGAATGGGGAGGCTCGACTGGGTAAGTACCACGACCTCACAGAAGACCGGCGTGAAATGGACGTTTAATATTTCACGTTTCATCTGGTGAATGAGGTAGCCGAGGCCCAATTTTCAAAAATGTTGTTAATGCACTTGCAAGCCCTCGGGTTTAGCAGATGTCCATGGGCGGTGGTATTCTCTTAACATCAACCAACGTGAACCACCTGTTCGCTAAACTCCTTTTCATATAAAAAATTTAAGGCTTACCATCATTAACTGTATTATATTATTCGAGGTACATTTTCTAATATAGATTCAAGTTAATTGCATAGTTAATTATAGTTACAAAGAGCTAAACTACATATTGTTAAAAATAAAATAAATTACTTTGAGCATAGCGAAATAATTAGAAATATTTAAATTTTAATCTTTCTCAATCCGAGGTAAAATAGGCGATTCAATGACTTTAAAAAAAGTAAGTATAGTTTATTATGACACACTCCCATTTGTCATGCAGTACATAATTTTACCAAAAAAAAATATTTTTATCATTTAAATATTTATATTGTGCACTCAATGTGTGATGTTTCTTATTTGTACCTACTTTAGAATATAATACATACATACCTTACACGATCGATTATTCAATTGATTAAAAAAGTTGTTATAACAAAGTTTATACTTGATATCATTACAACAGTCTGTGCACCATTAGTGACGTCTTACCTTTAATTATAATAACAATGTACTTACAATACCTGTTTATAATTAATACGAAGATGACGTTCATTGGTAATCATTTTAATACTCGTTGCAGAGTATTAATGCCCTGTTCGGTCGCGCATTAGATGAAACAAAAATATTCAAATTTTATAAAAACTACTAGCTGACCCGGCAAACGTTGTTTTGCCATATAAATTATTTGTACCACCCATAACATTTAGGGGGATGAAAAATAGATTTTGTCCGATTCTCCACCCTGGCACACAAAATTTCACGAAAAAAGGTCAAGCCGTTTCGGAGTAGTTCAATTACAAACACCGTGACACGAGAATTTTATATATTAGATATATATACTACCTACATAAAAGCAATATTAGAAGTGTGATTAATACAATGAATCGTAAGATTTTTTAATGGAATATGTAAATGTGAGATAATGACTTGGTGGCAATGTTTAACCTATCGGCTACGGCACCGGGGCTGGGTTCAATACAAGCGGGACAAGTATTTATGCGATTCACAGATAATAGCTCCGCATCTGGGTATTCATTTCCAAAGAGGAATCGCCCCGGGTAGAATAAGAAAAAGAAAGAAGAAAATAAAATTTTGTAGCGGAATGTCCTATGGGAATGAGAGTACACAAAGTCTTGTTTTAAACTTAAGATATTGATTTAGAGTATACCCCTTTTCCAGATATCTCATGTTTGTTTAGACATCTGGAAAACGCGTATCGTGTTACTTTCGTTACCCTTTACTATCATACAACTTGCCCTTACTAGGAGAACCGATTTGTCAAAAACATACATGCAGCCCCTTCCAATGTAGAAGATATATACGGTCTTCAAGGACTTTCATGTCAAAAAGTGCTGGCGGTGACGTTCATAGGGCTCTTATTTCCATCAATATTCCTTAAATTGTAGAGCCAAGATAGTTAGAGACCTGACGGCTTGACTTTGAATCCTCGGGAGAGGATTGTCTATTGTATTTGTTCATTTCGCCGCGTTCAACGTAGGGCTGCTAGGGTTATCGACGATCAAAGTCTTTCCGATCAGCTTGATCCTTTGGCTCTGTGTAGAGATGTTGGATCACTCTACATCTTCTACCGCATCTATCACGGGGAGTCTTCCGAGAAATTGTTTGGATTGATCCCGGCGGCTGAATTTCACCATCGGACATCGCACCATAACCAAAAATTTCATCCACACCACCTCGATGTACAGCGTTCCACAACAGCGCGATTTTCAAGGCATTTCCTGCCCCGCACAACCACTCTGTGGAACCAGCTGCCGCCGGCGGTCTCTCCGAACCGTTACGACCTGGGAACCTTCAAGAAGAGAGCATATTCTTTCTTAAAACTGTCTTCGTTTAATCATTAATGTCATGTAGTGTACCAATCAAATAGGACTGTGTCGATTCGCAGGTTTTGATTTCGATACTAGTTATAATCATACATACATTGGCTTTATATCGACAACCACAACATAAATACTTCAACGTTTCAAAGATCCGGCAAGTTGACATCACCACGTAAATACCGGGATGGGCGTGATCAAATCATTACGTTAAAATAAAACTCTTGCAAACCATTCACAATCTAATTTGAAACAATCTGCTATTTTACATCGCAAAGGGTCTATGTCGAATACAAGTTTAATGTTATTATTAATGTATAAATCATTTTTTATGAACCGACACTAAACATTTTATTAATCGATTTAGACTACATATAGGAAATACTCGGCCGAGGTTGCTGTTTAATCTCATCAAACGATCATTATCTTTGTCCGTGCATAGAAAAAGACTAAGTTCAATGCCAGTGGGTACCTTTAATATTTCCTTAATAAGTGGGCGAAGATGATATTCTTTGCTAATATAACGAGTGACAAGCTGGTCCACCCTAACTTAGCACGGGTGGAACAAATGTCAAATCTTCGATATCTTAATGTTTCAGTATAACATTAACGAGCCCGCAAAGACTACGTCCATGATAGATGTCTATATTGTAACGTTTTCAACCGACTTCAAAAAAGGAGGAGTATCTCAATTAAACTTTTTTTTTCATGTTTCAATCAATCTCAACTGTTCAATCTTGAACTGATTTTGATGATTCTTCATTTATTTCATTGGTATTGGATCTTGGGCTCCGGAGAAACTTAGGAAACTCCTTTATTGATTATAAGATGTTAATTACCTGGAGGACCGAGCTTTGCTCGGTTTTTTTTTTGGTAAATCGTGTATTTTGGAAATAAAAAAATTAAAAATAAAGAAAGCAATTATCTGGTATAAAAAAAAGCAAAAAAAATAAGTGTGTAAATGATCGTGACTCGAACCGCGGCCTTCTGTTTCGGGGCCGCCCGATTACCGACCGAGCTAGGAGCCGTTTCCGAGATTGCAATTCTTGTATATATATATATATATATATATATATATATAGACAAGAATTGCTCGTTAAAGGTATTAGATTAGCTATACATTCTTAAGTATCAACAAATCAAGACACGGTAACACCGCTAAAACTTGTTTCCAAGCAACGTATTATGTGTCCTATTAGCCGTCAGCGTGCACTTAAAATAATACCTCTTTTATTTGCAGGAAACCAATGGAGTTAACAGCATATTAAATGTTTAGTTTAGTTATATATTGAAACCAGTCGCATGAACCCGGATATTTTATTTTTTCACCTTTTTAAACGTCCAAATTTAGTTGCCCACATATCCCGTTACGCAGTAGGTACTGAGTTTCAAACTGGTACTTCCAGGGAGCTTATAAATAAGATTCAAATTGATTACATTAGATGACACTTGGGGTTAAATGCATAAAGGCTAATAGCCTTACAAATTTAACTGCCAATTTTTTCAAAAGACGAATTTTTTACAAGTTATTGGAAGAGAACCATGTAGGTACTCAAGTTTATCTTAATAACATTGAAGGTTTGTAATTAACCCGTAATTTTCTTTATTCTGGTGGTAACTTAGGAACGTATTAATTTTTATGTAAAATTTTGACATTTCATAAGAACGCGCAAGCGTCTATGTGAATAAACATATTTTTGATTTAGATTTTTTTTGAATTTGCTTCACATTGAAGCCACGCTCTTTAATAGTGGTGATGTTTCAGAAAGTATTTTTATAAAATATAGAGGGAAATAAAATATTACCTTTTTGATATTATTGGCGTACGAGCAGGCGGTTCACCTGTTGTTATCTGGTTACCAACATACATGAACGTCAACATCAACAACACCCGACGGGTTGCAGATGCGTTACCAACATTGAATGTCTCTGAACTCCTCCTAAACGGCTGGACCGATTTTAATGAAATTTTTTTTTTGTCTTCAGGTCGATTCGAGAATGTTTTAGATTTACAATTCGGTACACTACATTTTTTTTTTATTTCTACGTCGTCAAATTTAAGTCGTGTGTACAGGACAACGTCAGTCCGGTTGGCTAGTTGACTATATAAAGTTTCTTCGGGCATAGAGATCGTCGAGAGGCTACGTGTCCACAAGCTTTATCCTACCTGAGTACGCATATGGAGATGCGTGCATTAACAATATGAGAGGATAGCCGGCTGTCGGGGTCTAGAACGTGGACTGTGATATCGGCATTCACTGGGCACAAGGTATCTCCGTGTCCCGAGGGTACCTTGTGTGTACGATGTGTTTGTTTCGCAGTCCTCTTAGACGAGGACGAACTATTGTCTAATGTACCATAACGCTACTTGTGTGTGTAGTTTTGTGGGGAAGGATCCCAATTGAGTCCCAAATAATTTCGTCTCTTTCCTGTACAGGTCGTTTGGCTGCGTTTACTACCAGACGATTGGAACAATTTTCGGTCAACGAACCGTTTTATCTCTAAAGTGATCGCATAACATTAGCACCCTGCATTTCCTAGCCAAACATAGTCAACGGCCATCGGGGTCAGAGTCCGCACCGAACCTTGATGGCTCGAAGACGACACTCCTTAGCTAACGCACACATGGGTACATGCGCGGCCCTGCCCACTGTGGAAGGCCTCAAACCCGTGGGTTCTGGCTAGCCCACATGTTCCGCGTTCGATAAAGCTTTAATAGTCTTGGGACTGAAAGAGTTAACATCAATTAATACAAATACAGCATGCATTTGTTGTACTGATCGCTATTGATTTGATTGGTTGCAGCTGAAACCGGTCGCAGCGCTGATGCAGTTATATTACACTACCTGAAACTTCCAGACATGCAAGTGTACGACAGTATCGTTCTTACGCAAACCTTGTGTTCTAAGCAAGCTCTTGTAAAATATATTGCATAATTTTGTCGGGGTTCACATATTATGTTCTCCATTTAGAAAACCAATCAATCAGCGGCGATTAGTCTGAAATGGGGCTGTGTGCACTGTTGATTTTGAATTTCAGATAACTTTTTAAAATAAAATTTACAGTAGATAAATCTTTATTCTCATAGCTATATAAAAATAATTGATACGAAAATTATTACAAAGTAATAACAGTTACTGTTCCGCTAATGATTGAAGCAACAAAAAATTTCCAATACTTTTTAATTAAGAATAAAAACCAACTGAGCAACATCGTTTTTATAGCTATAATTATGTTATTAAATTATATTTTTGACGTTTAACTGTTGAGACGTAAAAAAAGTCTTCAATAACTAAAGCCCGCTTTTCGTACACGTTTTTTTTCGCATTAGATAGACATATATAGGTAAAACTTATTTGAATATTTCTTAATAGACATACCTATAAACCAAGAATATTTAAACCAAAATTCCAAAGTAATAAATATTAAACATCTGTATCTAGTATCATTACTAGGTGATGCTAGTGTCATACAATAGCATAATTGTATTACCGTTAGTTAGTCCCTTCGTGAGACCGCTAAACATAATTTTTATAAAAAAATTATACACGTATATTGTGGCGATAATTTTGCTCAGCCGAACTAAAAAACTGAATCGAATTTCTTGTTACATTGTTTTTAAAAACCCACCAAGACGTTTGGAAATCCGCAGGCATTTTTTAAAATGGTTTTATTTTAACCATGATTGTGTAATGTTCTAGAAAATGCAAGAAGTCATTACATTAAACAAAGACTTCAATCATATATTGAAACAGAGAAATCCAATTTAAATCGTACCATCATTGCACATTACCTCCACGTTTTACCGCTAAGCAAATCTCTTCCTGCATTTTAAAGAGACTCGCCACAACATCCCACGCATTATAGTATATATTGCCAATCTATGTTGTAAGTAAAATATAATTCATAAAATTATAAATGGCTCCGTACCCCGGTTAAAACTTATTCTACCGCCGCTTTTGAATCATTTTTCCAAATGTAACCAATAATTACCTTGATCTTGCTTTTCTACTTGTAGAATAAACAATTCCATTTAGAAAAAGATAAGATTTTTTGTATTATTAAATATCCGTGTATTATTATGTGAAAAATGTTAATTATTATATCTCAAGATGAAAGCATTTTAATCGTAGTACAGTCGTTTTACAATTTAAACACTTGCTAGAGTCAAATTCAAAGTCCAAAGTTCAGTATTCAATACAGGCTTTTTACGAGCACTTATGGTCAATAGTAATAAAAATAAAGTAGTATATATCCATAGTAATAAAAAGCATAACCATTTTTTTGTTTTTTTTTTTTAATGTAAAAAGTTATCAAGCGAGCAGTCGAATAGCCACCGCCCAAAGACATCTACGACACCTGAGGGCTTCCAGATACGTTGACAACCTTTAAAAATGTGGGCCCCGGCTACCTCACTCACCAGACGAAACGCGAAATTATTATATTTCCACTTCACGTTGATATTCTTTGAGGCCGTGCTACTTCCACGGACTTATTTGCCCATTTGTGCCACAGCAGAAGCTGTTGTGTGGCCCTTACTTAAATACTGATACTTACACTTAATTTACTTATTGCGTGAGCCTTTTATGAAAAACTAAGTTATTTTAAGTTACAGATATGGAGAACCACTAAAAATCGAATTATATCGCGTGATATGAAGCTTATATTTATAATAATATATATAATTTTTCTATAAGCTGTTTTCATTTTATTCTGTTGTTGTTATAGAGGAAAATATGGATTATAATGGAATATCCTTTACATTTTTTATGTTCTTCCCGTGAAATGAAGATAAACGCTGACAGAAAATACTAGATGGCACGTGAGTTATTAATTAAGGATTGATAGCAATCATAAATTAATGACTAAAATCGTAGTAAAACACAACAATAAAACATTGTAACAATTTCAGGCACAAAAACCGCTGCAACATAAAACTAAACCTGTTTCAAAATAATATGAAGTTATATATTTTACAACAATAAAACATTCAAATTGAACATCTATCAAAAACTTGTTATTCCATTATTTAACGTTAACTCCATCTCCATTACGAGAAAACCCAAAAAAATAGTAAGCTTCTAAATAAAAATTATTTAAGTAATAAAAATTGATATAACCAATGAAATTGTGTAGTTGTGATGGGAATTTTATATTATTTCCAAAAACTCCCTGTCTTTAACCTAATAATCATTAAAGTATATGTATAGATTTCTCCATTGCTTTACAAAACAACAAAGAGAAGGAAATACGTTGTTAGAAATTTCATATATAGCAATGCGGAACAAATAGAACGAAATCGTTCTATTTGTTCCATTCGTCGATCTATCTCATACCGTCAGCTTTTTTTCTGAGATGGTAAAAAAGAATATTTTTAGCCTTTAATTTTGGCTTTTATTCCCGAAGTTTCGAAGATTACAGCGTCCATGGTCATGGGACATTCTGTTCTATAATTCCCTATCAACTCGTAATGAACTCATCGTTTGCACGTATAGAATCTTCACGAACCTAAGACTAAAAAAAATAACTGCAAAAAATCTCTCATGAGGTGGTTACAGGAAAAACCTTTTCCACTACAATTGGAAGTTTTACGATTAATAAGCAATTACAGTGCCTCGTATAAAGAAGTGATTATCTCATAACGTTCGAACATAATTATACATACTCGATTGGCAAAAGATGAGGGATTTCCTTTAAAGCGAACTAAGTACACGGCATAGCTTTGACGAAACATTGAAATCTTTTCTTATACAGTAAGATGTCAATTTATAAAACATTCGAACATTCTCATAAAATTCCAAACTAAAAAGCTCTTAAATACCAGCATCTTGATACAGCTCTCGCGCATCGGATCTAACAAGTAGAACCTCTTTCAGTGCCGCCCTGCGAAATAAAAACAAAAGAGCATCGTTGCTCCTCGAGCAGATATAATGTATCCAAACACGCCGAGGAGGGCATCCGGTTTATGGGAATAACCAGATGCAAACGTGCACGGACTTCGCAAATTGGCGGGCGTCTGCCGTCACGCCAGTACCACTGCAAACTGTTACGTTTCGCATTTGTAAACGATCGACAAACAACAGACCCATCAATTATTACCAAGGTACCATGCACAATGACGCAATCGAACCGATCTTTTTTTTAACGTCACCGTGAGAAGGAGACGTTCTGAAAAGCATTTAGTGACCCGACCGCCGGTGGATCCATGACGTCTCATGGCGTCGGAAAAGCCGTCGTATATATAGGTTGGCTCAGCGCGCCCTGCGCCAGTGATCACAATGGGACTTTGTGGTGCAGTGGCCGTGCTGGCGCTCGCCGGCTTGGCTTGCGCGACCGTTGGCGACAATGCCCTCGACGCGGGCGACCGGGTGGTTCTCGTCGCGCCGGTTCTAGCGCCCCCCAAGGACACCAAGACCCACGCCACTGACCGCTCCAGGCAGTTTCCTATCTTAGTGCTCCTGGCGCCACATTACCCGCCGACAAATGGCCGCGAGCCCGCAGCGAAATCCCTGGGTATCAACCCTCAACCGATTTACGTTCAGGTAAAGATACTAAATCTCTTAAATCTTCAATTCAGATAACAAAATATCCACAAAAATATTGTGTATAATGGTGCATTTTAATTACGCACGTGTGCGATATGATTGTATTTCGTTTGCACGTATTAAACATTATAATTTATTCAACATTAAATTTAACCTTCACCGTAAGGTGCAAAGATGAGCCCGTGAAGACGGAATGTAATGAAATAAAGAAGATTTCATATATTCAAGAGTATTAACTTAAATTAAAAATAACATCAATTGCATAACATTAATAGCGTTCAATATACAACTATCGTTTAATCAACTTTATGTTGCATTTAATAGAAACTAGAAGATCAGGAGCCATCCAAACCAGTTCGGCAAAATAGACAGAAGAGACATCTTCTGAAGAAGAGTCTCTTTGGTCTTGGAGGTGGTGGGATCTCGTTCGGCGGTGGCTTCGGATACGGTGGAAATGTGGGATTTCAAGAGCCGGCAAAAACAATCATTGTGGTGAAAGAACATGGTATGTTAAACTTTATGGTTCCTAATCTGTTAATGCTATTTGAATTTTCCGAACAGAGACCTTAAAATTTTTAAAGTGACCTAGGAAGACAGAGTTAGGGTTTCTGTGTATGCATCGTTTAGCAAGGCACCATGTCGTCGAAGGCTTTGACTTTAGAATCTTAGAATATTTTCCCCGTAGCCCTTCGGAATTGTTAAAATAATGTAACAATATTAAATAGATAAAATTTTAAATTATTTTTACATAGGTAATAATTATATAGTTGTGTATAAAATAGTTAGAGAACTCTACCATAGCGTTCATGACTGAGTTTTTTGTGTGATTAGTTTTGCACTTCAATAATTTTATTCCGAACCACGCAATAACTATTTATAACATCTTTAGAGCTTACCGAGTGTGTGTGCTTTGATTTTATTTTATAATTACAAGAATATTCAATTGAAATTAGAGTGATTATTTATTGCAAAATTCTTTCGGATCAGCCGTAGCAGAAATCGGATAGCGGGAATTAAAATAAAACGAAATAAATTAAAAAGCAATGAATTCCGTAAAATATGTTCAATGAACTACATTTCGTATTCTTACAAATCAAATGAAAACAAAACATATTTATTCACACAGACGCTTGTGGGTTCTTATGAAACATCAAAATTTTACATAAAAATTAATACGTTCGTAAGTTACCACCAGTTCGGAAAGCAGTTTCTGTTTTGAAGAAACCGGCAAGAAACTTAGCAACTGTTAGTACCAATTGATCGCTAACTCTGATCTAGTAACGTTAGTTGTTTTTTATCTAATCCGACGTGGCATTAGAGCAGCAATTTAAACAGAACTATTTTCGCAAAAATTACTCATATTTTAGTTTTTCAGTTTATCGAAGCAAAGCGCCAATTATAAATTATTTTGCGAATCAAACGTGCTACATTATGTATTTATGCTATATTATTTACATTAGTTGTGCAATCATCGTATGGTAAACCTCTTACAAGGTCGTATTCACTGCGACCCGACAAAATTATTCTCTTGCACTGGCTTGAGTCAAGATCAACCTTTTTGATTTAAAATTGCAAAAGCAGACATGAAACTTGGTGTTAACGGACCTTAAAGGAGTAACGAATATGATTATACTCGTACACACTTAAATTAAAATCAAATTTTGTAAATACTACTAACTTCTTTTTTTATTATGCACAAGAGATTTTTTTTTTACTATTCCCCTATTCATCCGAATACAATATCTTCTATTTAAATGTAAAAAAGTAAATTCTACTCAGTCATTAATTACACAATTGATAGATACTCGACTACAATATCAATTACTCAAAGTAGACGAATTCAAATCCCGACGTAAATATCTCCTACAAAAAATGAATAGTTAATCGTCGATGTTGTTCAGGACTCTTTCTCGACATTATTGAAAAGGCTCTGTCAGGAAATATTATTTCAGAAACCAGCCCAGGGCAAGTTGGACTCGCCCACGAAGTGTTACGTACAATTAGATATTAAAACGGCAAAAAGCATGTCTGTTGTGTGAAAGTTGTGTGAGTCTCACATAACTTTATTTTTCTGTTTTTTTAGTATTTGTTGTTATAACTGGCAACAGAAATACATCATCTGCGAAAATTTCAACTGTCTAACTATAACGATTCATAAGATACAGCCTGGTGACAGACTGATAGACAGACAGACTGACAGCTGAGCCTTAGTAATAGAGTCCTGTTTTATCGTTTGGGTACGGAAACCTAAAAACTGATAAACAGTATTAGTTATGTGATTTAATGCAACAAGGTTTTATGAACGATGTTAATTAAGTAGTAGAAGAAGTATGTCTCTACTTGGGCAAAAATAATAGCTAATTTGAAACGTACACAAATATGTTTTAATTAGTCCAGAATTCAATTGAACTAATATTTTTGCTTTCAGTCCTTCTTTTTAATTTATTAAGCTCACCTGCAGATGTGACAATAAAACTTTCTTAGGTTAACTATACACTAATCTAAATGCTTAAAACTAATTACACATCAATTTTAGAGATTATTACACATCCAAATTATAGGCAAACACAACATTGATAGATTCGTATTTGTAAGTTTGTCCTTTGACTATAAAAGCTTCATCGAAAGCAGAAATTGTACATTTACAATTTTTTTGGGCTAGGCAGAACCCACGAGCTTGATACGGCCCTTCACGTTTGGATATGACCTTGCGTATACGCTAATACGTACGTTATATTAATCAGAGGGGGGGCCGGGCCGTGAGAACCACCCTTTGGAATAAAGTTCTAATAAATAAACTCTTACCGTCCACGGAGATCATCCTGGCGTTAAAAGGCATATATTATATGTAGTTCTACATATAGTGGATAATTAGACCATTGATGTAATTTAATACAATGACTCTTACGGTAAAAGTAATAAACTGGTAATTATTTATAATACCGCCGCGATAGCTCAGTGTCCGGGCGCTTCCCTTTAATTCAATATACTCGAGCAACCTGAATTCCGGTGATAGCACCAATGAAATTATTAATTTTAAGTACTGTCTATAACGTGCTCAACGGTGAAGGAAAACATCGTGAGGAAACCTGCATATTTTCTAAATAACAAAAAAAATATTTCGAAGATATGTGAAGTTCGCCAATCCACAATGGGGCGCGTGGTGGACTATGCCCTGATACCTCTGTAAAAAGAGGAGGCCTTTGCCCAGCAGTGGGATATAGGCTGTTACTTTACTTTACTTTTAGTTATAGTAACCGATTACTATGCATAGTCACCACAAAGTATGGTAAATATGATAAACTTATCAAATTAGCCGGTTTGTTTGCATAATTCCAAACTCATATGATAGATGTGATAAATATCATGACTGATAGGGCCAGTTTTTTTTGTATTGTTACTACGACTATGACGTTAGAGACCACGAATTACAATATTTTACATTTTACAATGAAAACTTAATAAATGATTATTTTAAGCCGTATATAATTATTTAGTCTAAACGATTTGAATAGGGGAGTGGCAGATGTGAAATGAAAAAAAAATACAATTTACATGAACTCGTACAAAAAGATGGCGTATAAAAAAGCAAATTGCAGTTACAGAACAAACCAAGCCTTTTATGTAGAGAAAAACCGAGAGTAGTGAAAGTACGATGTAGTGAAAGTAGGCAACGTTGAAAAACAACAGTAGAGGGTTCTACTGTCTTAGGGCCATGCAACTGGCAGATCCATCCGCCTAAGTACCATAATCTCACAGAAGACCGGCGTGAAGTGGAAGTGTTATACTTTTGCGTTTCGTCTGATGAGTGAGATGGCCAGGGCCAAAAAAGGTGACGCATCTGCAACCCTGTGTGTGTTGCATATGTCAATGGGCGGCGGTTATCACTTAACATCAGGTGAACAAACTGATTTGACCCCTTTTCACATATAAAAAGAAACAAAACGAAACATGTACAAAGGCGGACTTAATGCCATGACAATATTAACTAATTTCGAATAAAAATGCTCAAGCATACCAGTCATTATTCAATATTTTATAAAATACGAGCGTAGCGAAAAAACGTTTAGATGCAACGAAATGAGAACTACCATTGAAATCACCCGGTGCAAACTGAACGAATTTTCGTAAAGTTACGGACTTTTATCACATTTACCATTACAAGTTGGGAATTATGCAAATAAACTGGTTAATTTGATAAATTTTCAAAACTTTTTCAAATTTACTAAATTTTGTTATGATTATGCATGATTACCGGTCATTATTTATAATGACCGGATTTATCACATTTACCGCAACATATATATTACTACGAGAATACTAAAACCGTTCTAATTGACAAGTTAACCTTGTTATCAATGTAAGGTCAAATCTACTAAAATAAAGAATATGCAATTTCAAGCAATTAATTCATTTCTGAAGCTATTTTTGATAATCTTTGTCAAAATAGTTCAAAACTAACGTAGCGAAGTTTTTTTCCATTCCGTGATTATTTTGAAAATTCCCGCCAAGTACATGTTTCATCAAATATGAGTTTACGTTGAAAATTACATCACGATTCGTCCATCTATCACGTTTGGGTCTAAACGACCACGGTGTGACCAGGACGGTGTTAGCCATCTCTGTACCCTAAGTCCTACCCCATAAGTTATTAGAGCTTACGACCCTTAAAACAATGAAAATAGAACCAAAACTAGTTAGACAGCCAATTTTATTTAATTTCATTGATTTAGAACAAGTAAAAAAACTAACGGGTGTAATGTTTTATAATCTGTTGTTCTGTTTTGTAATAAAATTTTCTAGTCTAAATTGTTTCCGCGTTGAGTTTGAACGCGCGTATTAAAATTTAAATTTAACCGTACAATCGCAAAGCACCGTATTGACATTTCTTGAGCGGACTGTCCTCGAATATTTTTTTTAATTTAGCGCATTATACGGCGTACAAGCACAGAAGCATATTGTGTAAGTTTGTGAGCTAGTTTAAAAATAAACAAATATATATAATTTCGCGGATAATATTATATAAGGTGAGTTAATTTTATATAGAACCTTATTCTAGCTTGTTCCTTATTAATTTTATTAGTTTAGTAACATCTTGATTTGTAAATATTTATACATTGTTACAAAGGTACTTTTAAAGTTAAGTTTAGTGTCCGGGCGCTCGCTTCTAATACAATGTGCTCGACCAACCTAAGTTACTAGTTCAAATCCTGGTACAAATATCTATTAAATTGTTATTTTAACAAATTAATTTTAAATTTTCTGTTACTCTTACTTCACTTTTTTATAATACGTTACACATCTCTTATTCACTGGGCCATTTTGGTTCTCACTTTGTTTTATAAGAAACCTTTAAGGTCTAACGGACTTGATAAGAAATGGTGACAAATGAGCTGGGTGGTTGACCTGAAGGTAAGATGGTAAGAGGATGACCAGGTTATTCGCCTTTTGATGAAGCCATGGTTGCAATTATAGAATTCTCGAACTTTATAAGTATTTTCCGAGTCCTCACACAGTATGAAGCACAAACGGCTAAATAAATAAATACTTCACTTCACTGTGGTAGGGCCACGCAACAGTTTTCAATGTTACACGAATGTGCAGGTCTGTCCGGGTTAGTACCATGACCTCACAGAAGACGGGCGTAAAGTAGAAGTGTTGTACTTCTGCGTTTCGTCTGGTGAGTGAGGTAGCCGGGACACACTTTATTTAAAGGTGACAACGCATTTTCAACCCTACGGGTGTTGCGAATGTCCATGGGTGATGGTTATTACTTAACATCAGGGGAACCGCCAGCTCATTTGCCACTTTCTCACATTATATAAAATTGGCATTTAAGTTTTTTTTTAAAGACGTGACAAATGGATGATCACATTTATACAACATGAGATAGTTGAAAGGATTTCTGTTATGTATATATAATATTTATGTTTCATTTACAGGCCATGGTAGGGGATTCGGTGGTAATTATGGCGGTTATGGTGGCCATCAAGGTGGTTACGGTAGCGGTGGCTACGGAAATGGGGGCTACGGCAACGGCGGCGGATATGGGGGCGGATTCGGTGGCGGGTATGGGGGAGGCGGCGGCGGCGGAGGTGGCGGCGGTGGAGGATTTGGCGGTGGCTACGGAGGTGGCTACGGAGGCGGTTACGGCGGCGGATACGGCGGTGGTAACGGAGGCTATGGAGGCAATGGGGGCTTTGGAGGCAACGGTGGCTACGGAGTCAATGGAGGACACGGTGGCGGCTACGGCCAACCCGTACACTCCGGCGGCGGCTGCGGTGGCGGCTGCGGCGGCGGCTATGGCAACGGTGGCGGCGGCGCGACCGCGACAGCGTCTGCTACCGCCACGGCCACAGCTCACGCCGATTCGTACGGGTAAGCATAAAACCGTACACGAGATTATAAAGCCTGCTATATAATTGCATTAAGTTTTTATCACATAACCCACCGCCACATGTGATACGTTGTCACCTTTACAGTAGGTCTCCGTTGACATTCTTAGCAGATGAAATTTCAAACAATAAATACTTCACATTTCCTTCGGTCCTCTATAAAGTCGTAATGTTTTCCGAACGAACCCATCTAATCGAAAAACAGATGCTGCGTGGCTTTAATCTTTATAATTTTTAATAATACTACGTACGTAATTCTACTGTACGTATGTATTTAACTGAAATCCTGCTAAACGGCTGGACCGACTTTAACGAAATTGTTTGTGCGTTCAAGAATGGTTTAGATATTATTTTTTTTTAAAGTTATCGGATTTAAGTCGTGTGCACATGACAACGTCGTCCTGTGTGACAATTCCTCGAATACAATATAATTCTTTATAGTAATTATAAAAATGAATAATTTATTTACCCAGAAAGAACAAAACATTTTGCAAACAACCATCCCATTTTGAAAACTTAAAACTAGATTGCTGTTGTGACATTCAAATGATTGAAACTAGATTGCTGTTGAGACATTGAAATGATATTTATTGACCGTTGTACTGATACTAGACGATGTTAGTAACCACCAAAACCCATAATAAACCTAATACCGAAATTTTGCTTCATTAAGAGATATTATTTTAAAGGTATTTGGAGTAAATGAATTAAATACTTTATAGTAATAAATGTCACTTACATTTGTAACAGTACCACCACTGTTCAATCTCTTATCCCAAAAGCAAGGATTTAATACATTGCATGATATATAATATTATATAAATTAAAGTATATAATAAATAATAGATAGAATGTTGAAACTTACAATAAAGTATATTATATATATTATATATTACTATCCACTAGACATCTTTCCATATTATTCTCGATAAGACATCCTAAAACCGGAAAACTTGAATGCTCACTATTGGGTGCGTAGGCCACAACATCCCGGCCAACACAGCCTGAACTATAAATAAATGCAAACTTTGGTATATTATCTTTTTCTTTTTATTACAGATACGGAAAACGAAAACGATAAGAAGCGTAATGAAGAGCGGTCATCAAAAATAGGAATATCTAGCGAAACAAGAGTGAATCTGTGTCGTTTGGGTTTCCCCGGGTAGTAAATAATTTTAACATACAAAGTTCGGTCATCAAAGTAGATGCACAACTAACTCGTGAATATATTTAATCCACTGAATATATAGCAACGTAGCAATGTAATTTAAAATAAGATTGCGAGTTAATCTTATAATCGCATCCTTGGTACCAAAATAAATGTTAATTATTTAAAAGTGAATGTAATATCATTTGGTCCGTGAATGCCGCTACTTCCTGGCAGGTGCAGCTCTTCCATGAGCTGTATAAAGTGAACTATTGCTTAAACTTCTCCAAGACTGTAAATTCAGAATAGTTTCTTCTGTTGTTCTTCATACATCGCTCTTGAATTCTAAAATAGTTTTTTATACATTTCAAAATACAGTGAATATATAATAAACACATTTTCATCAGCACTAAAATCTGTAACATGTGCTTATATAAAACTTATGAGCTTGCCGTACGTTAATGTCGTATTAAAAGTAGTTAGTATATAGTATAGTATGAAATTACTTTTAGTATATTGTAAAGATAATAGGATTGGAGTATTTTTGGTCTTTGATTTGAAAGATTACTAGAACGAACTTCATTTAATATTATTCTGAATATCAACTATGTGCAATTTTTTAATATAATAATTTAAGTATTGTATTGTAATTATCGACTTTTAGATAATGTATAATAAAATGTTTTTTTTAAGTACAAAATATTAATTTTATTTGTATATTAAAAGTAACCATGTAAGGACATAACACAAACTACGGGGGAGATCTGCATTAGTATTGTCAAAGCAGTGATTGCACACGGATGCCAACTTAGGAATTTTCTTCCTAAATTTAAGAACAAAAAAGTTAAAATAGAATTTAGTGACTTAAACCAAAACTTCCTAAATGTTTTTGATTTAGTGAATTTTTGAATTGCTTTAGGAGTATTTTTTACCAGTTGGTAACAGTGCAATGCCGCACAAAAGATGTCCATAAAATTCATATTTTCAAATACAGCTTATAATTTGAAACATTTTTAGTTTAAAATTTATTAAAGTTGCGGATGGAATGATATCATATATTTATGTATTATTTATTATTATTATGCAGAATGATTGAAATAAGTTAATTATCACGTACCTGTCAACCTTTACTTTAGCGTACTATTTGTATGTATCAGGTGTATAATTGATCAGGATATTGATATTTAACTATTTCTAAAAGCTACCTTAATGGCAAGGGCCTACTATAATGTCCAAGAATACATCGAGGACAAGGATGTGTGGAAATGACTCTTGCTGTGCACTTGCAAGACCCCTGATTTTGTATCTAAATAAGTTTGTATAATTGCATTAAAAAAAAAAAAAAAAAAAGAATAAAACCGCAGAGTTTCTTGCCGGTTCTTCTCTGTGCAGGTCTAGTTTAGTGAACCGGTGGTAGATTTTTTGTTGGCGTTCAATAAGAGCTTAAGTTAAGCCTATATTGAATAAAGATACTTTGACTTTGACTTTGACTTTAATACCTATGTTATTAAATTATATCAAACGGGTATTGGCATATAGACATTGACATAAAATCAACAACAACAAGCAACAATCGTATCATTTATGTGAATACCTTAATTTAAATATCCTTTTACATTAAAATTTATCATGAATAGAATACCCTAGACGTAGAGTACCAGTCATACTAATTGTGATACTAATTTTGAATTGAACAAAGTAACGTTGATTAATTTTAATTAAAAATAATCGAACTAATTGAAACTTTCTCTTATTATTAACAGAATAATGAGATGATAATATCTACTCTGAATACTGCATAAATAATTATACAACCCATCGGTGTTGGAATTTCCGTAAACAAAGTTATGACGTCATTATTACAAAACGAGTTTTCCATAGAAAAAACATAATTGCGGTAAACATGTCCTTATAGAAAGTTCCAGATCCAGATATCCAGAAGTTATATAAAACCTTGCTAATTATATTAATCTGTAATTATATACATATAACCAGTGGCGGACTAAGGCCTTCAGAGGCCCGGGGCGGTAAACCTGAATAAAGGCCACTAGTTTAAATTGAACTTAAACAAATATACACAGAATACAGAGATGGATGAGGAAAATAAAATACTAATCGATCTGCAAAAAAAAAAACTCTGCGGTGGGAGGGCCACGCAACAGTGTTCGCTGTTGCACGAATAGGCAGGTCCGTACGGGTTAGTACCATGATCTCACAGAAGACTGGCGTAAAGTATTAGTGTTGCACTTCTGCGTTTCGTCTGGTGAGTGAGGAAGCCGGGCCCACATTATTAAAAGGTGGCAACGCTTATGCAACCCTAAGGGTGTTGCAAATGTCCATGAGCAGGCCGTTATCCCTTAACATCAAGTGAACCGCCAGCTGTTTTGCCACTTACTCACATAAAAAAAAACTAAATAGTAAAAATAAAGTAATAGGTAGTTATTATTTCTAATAAGTTTAAGGAACTAACACTATATAGACGTTATAAAGATTAGCATCATTGGCGTACATTGCCTTATAAGGGCCCTCAAATCAAATGTATCGGGGGCTCAAGTGAAAAGTAAAGATTTGTCACCAAAGAAACAAAAATCCTTTTTGGAATTAATATACACATTTCTCCCCTTTTTTCAGAAAATTAATTGTTAAATCATCTATAGCGAAGACGATTTCACTTTTTCTAGATTTTCTGCGGCTATATAAAATTATCTGATATCCGTTCCTGTCCCATTGAAATTTTAAGATCAATTTTTTATCAGTTTTAATTAGAAAAATCTTTTATATGTTGCAGCTGTCACCAGAAGGGCTAAAAATAGAAGGCATGCTGGTATTACCTCAAGAAAACGATGCAAGGCTATTGAATTTAATCCGAAATAATTTCATGAGTTCCATAATGGAATTAATTAACACCCTTTCTGGGTTTAAACATGTTTTCTAAGCAATCGTTCATGTTGACCAGTATTAACACATTTCGCTTTAAAAGAAGATCTTTTTAAATAGGAACTTAATATAGATGTAAACGTAAAATGGACGTGAAATTTCCAGATACAAAATAATGGCCTGTTAAAGGTAGATTACATGATGCTAAAGTTATTTTAATATTACATCTCGCCGGAAAGATTTCACTTAATAATTTAAGTAATTGTGGAATTTTTGCTTTCATCCGTTCGGGGCCTACAGAGGCCTTGGGCTCGGGGGCCCCGTAGTCATACGGCTGACACAGCGTTAGCTACACCCCTATTAGCGGTAGTAGTAATTTTATTTATAAAATGTAAATTACCCGGTCCGGTTGTATTTTATCTGAGATGATTATGATTTTATTTATACGTATTTTACTGAAAGAAATAATATTTGTATGGGACCTCCAAACTCCAACCTCTTGGCACACAGTACAAAGCATATTTATAAAGCCTTGTCTATGATTTGTTCAAGGGAACATGAAGTCGTTTGGGTGCCCCCAGGACCGGGGGCCCGGGGCGGCCTGCCCCTTCCGCCCCCGATTAGTCCGCCACTGTGAATAACAAGTTTCATCAATGGTACCGAAAATACATTAACATTATAGTAGTTCGGGTTGCATATCCGAACGGTCACAACTATACATTTTGATGATGATTATAGTTATTGTATATATTTAGTTGCGGAAAATGTACAAATTTCACCGGAATCGGTCGAATCGGGATCTAATATCCCAGATCTAATGGCCCAGCGTCTAATCTCCCAAATCGAGAGGATAACGGTGCAATGAACAGACTGCTGCTTCCGGAACAATTATTTGTGGGTCACACAAATACTTATCCAGTGTGGGAATAAAATGCACAAGTCGTGAGTTAAGCTTTATGCTAAGGGTAGGGATTGTGTTGTGTGTGAGAGTTTTGTGCAGTGTTTGCGAGCGCCAAGACATGTTATCGCCATTGGAAGTGTTATATGTCTACGTTTCAGGTGAGGAGTTAGGTAGCCTGGGCGCATATTATCAAAAGGTGGCAACGTATCTGCAAAGCTACGGATGTAGCAATATCCATGGGCGGCGGTTATCACTTAACATCAGGTGAACCACCAGCTCGATTGCCACCTTCTCATATAAAAAAACGCAATGAATTCATTAAATTACTTGTTCATATTACTTTGTCTTGATACCTACATGTATACTTTTATACATTTTATGATACTTTGTACAAAAGAATGTATTTTTCTTGTTAGCGGCACAACCTGTGAATCATAGTATTTGCTAGGTTTTTTACGACCTGGTTGACTTTCCAGGCTCGGAACAATCCATGAGTCGCACAAATACTTTTCCCTTAGGGAGAATCGAAGCCACGGCCCTCAGCGTACAAGATAATAGCTTAGCAACTGTGCCATAAACATGACCACTTTATTTTACTTAATGTAATACTAACGCATATGACTTGTAATAAATGTGATATTTGCACTTATACCAGATTGCTTTATTTTTTTAAAAGGCATCATGCGTTTTTTGTTAATCTTTATATAAAACTAGCTGGCCCGCTCAATTTCATCTGCGCCAAATCTATCGGGTCCATACGTTTCGACTTTTACCATAGCGCCATCTATTGGATACTTACTCAATCCAGCCGATAAATTTACCTTACACCGCTATCTGTTAAAATATTATGGAACTCACAGATAACTATAACTCTTTGTCATCTAATAAACAAATAATTTTCAATAAAATAATATTGCGACTATAAATTCAGTGTGCAAAGTTGATTAATATATATAATTAGAAACACTTCTTATGAATAAAGAAAGTATAACTTCAACGTACAAATATTCGTAAAAATATACACAATCAATCATTAATAATCATGCAATAATATAGCCACTCAAATAAAAAAACTCATTAAATGCATAAAATATAAAACATATCTAGTTACTTTTAATTACAAAATGACTCTTACTGTTAGGTACTAGCCGCT